GGGAACATTATAAACACACATATTTATTGACTGTCATCCTAAGAACTATGTGCAGATGTACAAAAATACAGATCCACCTTATTTGTGGCTTGGTTAGATTACCAAAATATAACCTCACCACCAAGTCTTCCATTCTATTCCAATGAGGGAAAGAAGAGAAGTTTTGTTTGACATCTCCAAGTATCACTACGAATCAAATCTGCACTAGATCAAGACCACACCTGTCTCTCTACACAATCCTGCATAAACCCATTAAGAACCCACTGAGTAATATAGTTGGCCCAAAGCCAAGCATGTTAGAATAAGAGACTACTTAAGATTACTACATACCTCTATTGTGAATTAACTAGCAAGGTACAAAATTTATTTTAAATGACTGGATAAGAAACATATCCTGGACACATTTAAGAGGTAAATGCATATAAAACAGTGGTTCTCAATCGGTGGGCCACGGCCCAAAATAAAGTCCGCAGCTAGATTATTAAATATRGTTTTCTGTGGGCGAGTAGATGGCAACAACTGGATGGCATATGTTCTGTATCAGAAACTAGAGCTGATGTGGTCTATCCAATGCAATTTTCTGAATCAGCATTCCCAAATAACCAAAGCAAATCTAAAGTTCACCAAAAATTGATTCGTAAYCCCTTTGGTACTAATGCTGGAGAGTGGTCCCTGGTCAAAGTGGTTCCTGGTCAAAACAAAAGGTCAGGAATCACTGATGTAAAAGGAAAGTTACCTGTTGTAGATGTACTTGCATTTGGGAAGAGTGGGCCTCCTAAACCAGTCAAGGCTCCCCCCAGGGAGAGGCCTGTGGATGCACTTGTGGCTGGTGGAACAGTGCCTCCCAAATTCAAAGTAAAGCCAGTAGTTCCTGGATTGTAAGATAAAATGTTAATACCTAAAGATGTATATTTGTTTTAAAAAAACCAATAGTACATTATTGCCTGTCATAAATATACCGTTAGTTAAAATGAAGTATAAATACCATAGTAACTTCTAATGCTGCTGTGAACAACAGGTTATGGATTTCAGAATCATGTATGTTCAAATACTTGGAAACCATGGCCAAGGGACAATCAGAAGTCCTTAGAGAACAGTGTATGTCCCCATCTGCACTACCATTATAATGCAGATTGAACTGCATTATATGGTCAATGTGGATTCACATAATCCTATTCAATGCAGTTCAATCTGTATTATTTATTTATTTATTTATAATCCACACCTCTCTCCCCAAAGGGGCTTAGGGCAGCTTCCAAATATGACACAAAATCATGGCAAACATTCAGTGCCGCATTATGAGTCTACACCATACATCCTCAAACTGTGGCCCTCAAGTTGTTGACTCCCAGAATACCTGACCATTGAACAAGCTGGCTAGGGCTTCCAGAATTTGGAGGCACAAACAGATGGAGAACCACAGTTTGAGGATACCTGGCCTACACTGACCATATAACGCAGTTCAATCTGCATTACAATTGCAGTGTAGATGGGGCCTAAATGAGCCTTATAGTAAATGCTGCACTAATGCTGTGCCTCTTCAGATATATTTAAGGAAACAAGTACTATTAATGCTTTGAAAAATGGTAACTCCTTAGCACATAATCTTGAGGCTGTATGTGATGCATGGACTTTAAATGTGCACTTTTGTGTCAGGACTCTAACAACAAACAGAGTGGCTTCTCTATTTTGGAACATGGTAATTCATAAATATTATCACTGGATTGGATGGGATTAAGATAATATACAGTCATGCTATATCACCACTGCACATTTTCAGTAGAGCAGCACTATGATCTGTAGAATCAGATAGTACCAAATCACTATTTTAAAACATTATTTGCCATTTTTATCAGAACTGCTCTGATCCATCTGAGTCTGAACACAAAAAACATTACTGCCTTACCTGCTGCTGGAGCTGACGTGAGGGCAGAAGAAAGTGTGAGACCAGAAGAGGTAGAAGTGATTGGCAAAGCAAATGGTGTAGCTGATCCTGCAGGTTTGCTGAATCCTAAACTAAGGCCTGTGGTAGTGGCAGAAGTAGATGCAGGTGTGCCTATGAAAGAAGGATCAAATTTCAATCTTATTTTGATGCCTGCCTTCACTCTCTTATTTGTACTGGGTCCCTTTAGTGAAATGTAATGTTAAATTCTAAACTGACAATTAAGAAAAACTTAACTACATTTTCCCCAGAAATTGTATCCAACATAATGGATCCCTTGTCCAAGTTAGCCCAGCAGTTCCAACTCTTGAGCTCCGATCACTCATCTTGCCTATTTATTTACCTTTAACATCCCACCCTAAATCTGGTACTTGTGAATCAAAGGTACCTTCTTAAAGTGGATGAGTAACTGCACTGATCAATACATTCAGTGTGGTGAAGCATGACCTGTTGTGCTTGTAAAATATTAAATTAAAAGCATTCAGACAGAAATGTAGAAAGCAAAAACATAAGAAAGATTACATAACAAAGTAACATAACAAAGTAAGCACCTAGCCTTAGGCTGGTTCTACAAACTGTTACACTTGAGTTTTTGAAACACTGAAACATTCCATATTTTCAGCTCTAGTCAAACCTCATTCAGATCTCCTTTATTCCTCTTGTCCTATCCAAGTCTTTAACAGAAAAACCTCATAAATATATCCTTTCTCCTGTAGGGCCCTCTGTGCACAGTATTCTATGAGCTGTGACTGCTGGCTCTGCCAAGGGCTGTCCAGTTTCTTGCTTCACAATGATCAAATCAGTGAACAATATTACGAATATAAATGCTCACTAGCCTTTAGAAACCCAAGCATCCTCCTTTAAATGTGTAGAAATAAATTTACTAATCCCGCAACAACACTGTACTGAAAATTTTAAAAAGAAAAGAAAACCTAGCATTTAGTACGCATTGCTTACCTAATGTTAATCCTGTAGCAATAGTAGTCGCTGTTCCTGAATGATAGTACAAAATAAAACTGAGTGAAATTTCTTTACTGATTGTTTTCCATAGTTTTCACTGCTTACAAAGGAACAAATAAAACTATTCAACAATGACCAAACCTCCACATTAGCAGGGATTAGGGACACAACATCCACATGAAAGGGGAAAAAGCACAGGTATCTCTAACCCTCCTTCCTCCTCTGCACAATATTTAACATACACATGCACACGCAAGAAATACTTGTGCTGGCAATATGACTCTGCCCAGCCACACTTGCTCCCTCACACACTCACTTGCTTGGGCAGGAAGGGGATAGGATTGGGGAAAGAAGGATTGGTGGTGCGTGGGTTTCCAGGGACAATTGTGCTGTCATGAGAGCAGCTACCACATAAATTCTCTTTATTAGAAGCATTTCAATATTCATTAGGCAAAGAAGTAAAAATAGCATGCATATTTACCTGTATTAGCCCCTCCTAACGTGAAAGCAGTAGCAGGTTTTGAACTAAAGAGTCCAGTTCCAAAGCCTACAGATGAAGCTGTTGTTGTTGCTGGAGTAGCTGTTGAGCCCAATGTCCCAAAGTTAAGTCCTCCAGTTGAACTAAATTTAAATACAAATGGGTTAAATATAACTCCAAGGTTCAATGCACTCAATTCTACAGTATAGTTGTATTTGTTTATTTACAGTACTCTATGGCCTAGAGTAGATCCAGTGGATCAAAAGCTGAATGTCAAATCGACATATTTCCATCTTCAGCCTGAAGGATAGGAAATGACTCTTCTCAGCACCTTATGCACTTGAAACTATGCAGTACAGGGAGACTCAACTGGCCGATTAGTTTTAACTACATATGTATAGTGTCCAAATCAAGGAAAGCAGTAGTGTCACGCCAAAGTTTATGCTGTGTCCAGTTCTGAACAGTTCAGAAATAATACTGACAAGCTGGAAAATGTCTATAGAAGAATGACCAAAATAATCAAAGTTTTAGAAAACAAGAAGAACGGTTTAGAGACCTGGATATATTTAACTTGGAGAAGAGACTAAGGTGACGTGCTAGCTGTCTTTAATCTGACACAATAGAATGTAGAAGATGGATCTTGTTATGATGTATTTCTTTGTTGTTTTGTGTCTAATTATGCTGTATTATTTTGGGGCTTGGCCTCATGTCAGCCACCCCGAGTCCCCTTTGAGGAGATGGTACCAGGTTATAAATAAAGATTATTATTATTACTAGTCATCCCCTGCCACGCATTGCTGTGGCCCAGTCTATGTATATGTGTTTTGTGTGTATATATATACATGTATATTTGTGCATATGTGTGTTTGCATATATATGTGGCTTTGCACATGTGTTGTAATGTGGGGGTTTTGGGGGGCTTTTTAAGTCTCTTCTGCTGTGTTTTTCAGTATTTTTATGAGTGATGGTCACTCGTTGGCCGGATAGGTGTATTCTGTCCAAATTGGGTGTCAATTCGTCTAGTGGTTTTTGAGTTATGCTAATCCCACAAACGAACATTACATTTTTTTATTTTTATAGATTATTATTATTAGTATTACTAGCCATCCCCTGCCACACGTTGTTGTGGCCCAGTCTGTGTATGTTTTGGGTGTATATATATGTGTGTGCGTGTGCATATATTTGTGTTTGCATATGTGGTTTTGCACATGAGTTGTAATGTTTTTGTTTGTTTGTTTTGGAGCTTTTTAAGTACCTTCTTTTGTGTTTTTCTGAGTGATGGCCCGATAGGTGTTGTGTGTCCAAATTTGGTGTCAATTCGTCCAGTGGTTTTTGAGTTATGTTAATCCACAAACGAACATTACTTTTTTATTTATATAGATTATTATTGAGGGCCCAAGTTTGCCCTTGCCTGTGATAAACCCTTAACTACAAGTCCCAGGCTTCTATGGCATGGATCCACGGCAGTCCCAAGCGGCGTCAAACTGCACTAATTGCCGCAGGGCTTCCTCCGCTCACCTGGGGGTGGCCCCAAAGGAGAAGCCGCCGCCGCCTCCAGTCCCAGCCGCTGAGGCCGTCGCCGAAGGCATGGTGGCGGCCCCGAAAGAGAAGCCCGTCGACATGACGACGGGGAGAGCACCACGGAAACCTCCTCAGAAGCGCGGAGCCGGGTCTCGGGAGGCGGAGGCTTCCGGAAAGGCCCTGCTCCCTTCACGGCGAGGGCCTCGTCGCCTTCGCGGAGGGAGAAAGCGCCATTCGCGACCCTCCAAAGCGGGAAGTTCAAACCAGCCGGGGCCTCCGAGGCGCAGCGTTTGTGACGTGAGTGGAACGCGGCCGCACGCTCCTCTCTCCTGCGCAGGCGCGCCGCCGCGTTGCATTGTGGGAGAGCGACCGCCTCTTTCCCTACTATGGTGTCCAGCTCAATGAGACCACAGAGATAATAACGTTATAGCTAGAGAGTAAACTAGGAGATGGGACTTCCGGGTACATTTAGTAAGAACAAAATCTGGCTACCAGTATTAAAAAACTCAAAAATTACAGCAGCAAAACAACAGAGGGGAAACAAACAGGCACATGAAATCACCCTCAACAAAAGATTCCCCCCAGGCGCTACCAAGCCATTGAATGCAAATCAAGGTGATCAGCTGAAACATTCACAGCTATCCCCAGCAAACAAAAGTCCTTTGTCTCACCCTGGTCATTCCACAGATATATAAACCTAGTTTTTCCTAGTTCCAACAGACCTCATTACCTCTGAGGATACTTGCCATAGATGCAGGCGAAACGTCAGGAGAAAAATTGCCTCCAGAACATGGCCATATAGCCTGGAAAAACCTACAACAACCCATTTAGTAAGACTTCTAAAGTAGCCGGTATTGCACCACCTGGTTTCACAGCTCTGACCTACAAGAAGCACTGCCTGAATATCAAGCAAAAGGTGGGTGCTAGAAACAATATCATACGAAAGCTGACTGGCATAACCTGGGGATCACAACCAGACACAGTGAAGACATCTGCTCTTGCGCTATGCTACTCTGCAGCTGAGTATGCATGACCAGTGTGGAACACATCTCACCATGCTAAAACAGTGGATGTGGCTCTTAATTAGACAGTTCTGGCCCAACTTACCTGTCCGAACGTATCTCCCCTTATGAACCACTGAGGACTTTAAGATCTGGGTTGTTGTAGGTTTTTCCGGGCTATATGGCCATGTTCTGGAGGCAATTTTTCTCCTGACATTTCGCCTGCATCTATGGCAAGCATCCTCAGAGGTAGTGAGGTCTGTTGGAAGTAGGACCTCATTTCCTCTGAGGATGCTTGCCATAGATGCAGGCGAAACGTCAGAAGAAAAATTGCCTCCAGAACATGGCCATATAGCCCGGAAAAACCTACAACAACCCAGTGATCCCGGCCATGAAAGCCTTCGACAAGACTTTAAGATCATCTGGGGAGGCCCTGCTCTCGGTCCCGCCTTCGTCACAAGCACATTTGGCGGGGATGAGGGACAGGGCCTTCTCACTGGTGGCCTCTCGGCTATGGAATGCCCTCCCTAGGGAGATCAGATCTGCTCCCTCCCTCTTCGGAGGCAAGTTAAAACGTGGCTGTTCGAGCAAGCGTTTACAAAAACAGAGTAACGAATATAAGAAATCGAATGATCTGACAATGGAAATGGACACTGCTTGAGAATAATGAGACACTGATGATGTTGCTTTTATTGCTTTTGTAATGGCTTATACTGTTTAATGTTTTTTATCTATTATGTTTTATGTATACTGATTTGTTTGAAACCGCCTTGAGGCACCAATTGGCTGAGAAAGGCGGTATACAACTACAGTCAATAAATAAATAAATAAATAAACATGCCGCATTATCACAGGGTGTCTGTGCCCTACACCACTTGAGAAACTACACTGTCTAGCTGGTATTGCACCACCTGACATCCGCCGGAAAGTAGCAGCCAATAGTGAAAGGACTGAGGCAGAGACATCTCCAGCTCATCCCTTGTTTGGGTATCAGCCAGCACGTCAACGACTTAAATCAAGAAATAGTTTTCTAAGATCTACAGAGACACTCGCTGGAACACCCAGCAAGCGAGAGTCCAAAAGTGGCAGGCTCAAACCCAGAACCTCAATCAATGGCTGATACCAAAAGAGAGACTCCCCCCTGGGCACACAGAAAACTGGTGACTTGGAAGGCACTCTCGCTCTGGCACCACGAGATGCAGAGCCAACCTTCAGAAATGGGGCCACAAAGTGGAATCCTCAACATGCGAGTGTGGAGAGGAGCAAACACTGACCACCTACTGCAATGCAACCTGAGCCCTGCCACATGCACAATGGAGGACCTTCTTGCGGCAACACCAGAGGCACTCCAAGTGGCCAGATACTGGTCAAAGGACATTTAATCAACTACCAAGCTTGCAAACTTTGTGTTTTGTCTGTTTGTTGGTTTGTTTTGTTAAAAAATGTAATACTAATGTCTGGTTGCTCCTGACACGATAAATAAATAAACAGTATTGAGCCATGAAAGCTAAAATAGTACCAAATTGCATTATTTCTCCTGTCTAGACGCACCCTTCTTCTCCCTACTTCCACACACTGAACCAAAGAGGAAGTGAAAGTTACTCATATGCCCTATCACGCCACATTGTTATACTGCTATCATTCTGCTTGAATTACCATGGCAACATTCTGTGGAATTCTGGGTTTTGTAGTTTAATAAGGTCCAAGATTCTCAGGCTTAGAATTTTAAATTATGTGCCTTCACGTTGCTGAACACCTATGACAACACTAAAATGAACCTTTTGCAGGGTTTTCTTGGCTTACTTAGGCGATCCCTCGCTTTCCGAGGATGATTGTCTTCCAATATTCTTGTGGGTCCGTATGTGGCTGTGGAGCCCTATTCTTGCTCTGCATCTTCTTCCGCAGTGAGGGCATTGGTTTCCAGGTGGAAGGCGGTCTCGGCCGGGGTTGGCTTGACGCGCCTTCCTCTTGGCATGTTTCTCTTTTTCACCCTCCACTCGTGCCTCCTCAAATTCTGCAGCACTGCTGGTCACAGCTGACCTCCAGCTGGAGCTCTCAAGGGCCAGGGTTCCCAGTTCTCAGCGTCTATGCCAGAATTTTTAAGGTTGGCTTTGAGCCCATCTTTAAATCTCTTTTCCTGTCCTCCAACATTCCGTTTTCCGTTCTTGAGTTCGGAGTAGAGCAACTGCTTTGGGAGACGGTGGTCGGGCATCTGGACAACATGGCCGGTCCAGCGGAGTTGGTGGCGAAGGACCATCGCTTCAATGCTGGTGGTCTTTGCTTCTTCCAGCACGCTGACGTTTGTCCGCTTGTCTTCCCAAGAGATTTGCAGGATTTTCCGGAGGCAGCGCTGATGGAATCGTTCCAGGAGTTTCATGTGACGTCTGTAGACAGTCCACGTCTCACAGGTTTGTTTGTTTTTTTGTCGTGTCAGGAGTGACTCCTGTTGTGAGAGAATTGGCCGTCTGCAAGGACGTTGCCCAGGGGACACCTAAATGATTTTGATGTTTTTATCATCCTTGTGGGAGGCTTCTCTCATGTCCCCGCATGAGGAGCTGGAGCTGATAAGAGGGAGCTCATCCGCCTCTCCCCGGATTCGAACCTGCGACCTGTTGGTCTTCAGTCCTGCCAGCACAGGGGTTTAACCCACTGCGCCACTGGGGGCTCTTTGCTAAGGGTGCATCTACACTGTAGAATTAACACAATTTAAAATAATTTCAACTGCCATGGGTCAATGTTATGGAATCACGGGAGTTGTACTGGTTTTACAAGGCCTTTGGCCTTCTTTGCCAAAGATTGCTGGGGCAACACTAAACTACAACTCTCATAGTTCCACAGCAATGCGTTGTGGCAATTAAAGTAGTATCAAACCGCTTTAATTCTGCAGTGGAGATGCATACAATCTCATCTCTACTGACGGAGGATGCTGCACTTGGTGAGATACTGCGGTCGCCATCTTTTCCAGTTGGAATCTATATAAATAAAAATGTAATGTTTGTTTGTGGGATTAACATAACTCAAAAACCAATGGACAAATTGACACCAAATTTGGACACAATGCACCAGTCAGGCCAACAAGTGACCACTCATAAAAACACTGAAAAACACAGGGGAAGGCACTTAAAAAGCCAAAAAAAAGCAAAAAGATGCTACAGCACATGTGCAAAACCACATATATACACATACACAAACAAAACACATATTCACAGTCTGAGCCTTAGCAACGCGTAGCAGGGGACAGCTAGTAGAAAATAAAACTTTAGTTGCCTTGCTTCATCCTGGTGAGATTTATTGGGAAATAGGGAAACTTTCATTGGTGCCTATTGTCTTGCCAATCTCACCTTTTGGGTCTTGCCGGCCTATGCTCAGCCAGGGCCCCCTAAAATCGTGCTCTGCATCACTACCATTTGCATAGTTTCGTGGCTCAAAGTGGCTTACAATAGTGCAAAGACAGATAGTTAAAAATGAATAACAAACAAAAGTTATAAAGCAAACCAGCATACACACACATACAACTAAAACAGCAGTAGCAGCAACAAATAAAACAAACTATCAAATTACACAAGGACTGTGGAGCAGAGCTTTTTACCTCACTGTATTGTTGGTCTTCCTGGTCTTAGATTCACTCCGCCAGAGAAACCCCAGATCAGTTAAGTTACTCCGCTTTGACATGGCTATTAGAATTAGCCTTTTCTATCAAGAAGTTCCATCTGTAAAAACCGAAGCAGAGAAATATTAACTTTTTCAACTAGTTGGCAGAACACTGTATGCTAAGCAAGCTCCTTTGTTGCCTGAATGCTCTAAGCAATTGGCCAGGTAGATGATGTCACAAGTATTTCAGTGTGCCAATCAGTGCCTCCAAGGGCCCTTCCACACAGCCATATAGCCCAGAATATCAAGGCAGAAAATCCCACCAATACCTGCTTTGAACTGGGTTATCTTAGTCCACACTGCCATACATTATTTCAGTTCAAAGCAGATAATGTGGGATTATATGTGGGCAAATTTATTCTGGAATTTATCAGATAATGCAGTTTCAAACTACATTATATGGTTAGTGTAGACCTCATATAATGCAGTGTCTATACTGACCATATAATTTTATTTATTTATTTCCTATATTTATACCCCGCCCTTCTCACCCCCAAGCGGGGACTCAGGGCGGCCTCACAAACACCCTACGGTGTCATCATAATAAAACAATCAACAATACATTAAAATATTAAAAATATTAAAACAATAATTAAAACACTTGATTAACACATGCCTATTAAAATCAGAGTCTAAAATCCAGTC